ATAACCATTGAGTTTCAGCCAGCTTTTTTTTTACATTGGCTTGTTGTTTTATTTAGGAGACACTCTCTAATAAGTCCCATAGCAACAGTAACCAGTGAACCAGTGAGTGTGTCATTGTCAGCTGACAGTGATGTGAAGTGCTGCTGGGATGATGCAGGATGCAGCGTGTGTGTATGTGCATGTGCATATGTGTGTGTGTATCAGCTGAAGTGCTGGGGTGATGCAGGATGTAGCGTGTCATTTGTTTCACTCCACTAGTACCTTTAGTCATGCTTTTGATCTTGCCCAGGGGGGACAGCACAGACACGTAGGACCCATCTGAAAGAGTAGTGACAAGATAAACAGGATGTTCACTGAAACACCCATGTTTCTGCTCAAACTATGCTCAACATTAGTCTGATCCCAGATCTGTCTGTGCTACCACAAGGAGTTGTCAAGAGAGCAGAAACAGACTGGAGACAAGGCTAGCTCAACATCTATTCCTTTGTAGAAAATGACATATTTACTTCTGCTGTATCAATAGTCTTGGTAAGGTGTTATCTTAGACTTAAACATTAATAATCTTAATAGGCAACATCCTCTCCTTTGTAGGGCTCACCAACAGATATATAGCATCAGATATTCATTATATGCACTACATGACCAAAAATATGTGGACACCTGTTCCCGTGTAGCTCAGTCGGCAGAGCATGGCTCTTGCAATGCCAGGGTTGTGGGTTCGATTCCCACGGGAGACCAGTATGAAAAAAAGTTTTAAAATGTATGCACTCACTACTGTAAGTCGCTCTGGATAAGAGTGTCTGCTAAATGACTAAAATAAATAAAAAACCTGCTCGTGGAACATCTCATTCCAAAATCATGGGCATTAATATGGAGTTGGTCCCACCACTTTGCTGCTATAACAGCCTCCACTCTTCGGGGAAGGCTTTTCACTAGATGTTGGAACATTTCTGCAGGGACTTGCCTCCATTCAGCCACAAGAGCATTAGTGAGGTCGGGCACTGATGTTGGGCGATTAGGCTCGGCTCGCAGTCGGCATTCCAATTCATCCCAAAGGTGTTCGGTGGGGTTGACGTCTGGACTCTGTGCAGGCCAGTCAAGTTCTTCCACAATGATCTCGGCAAAGCATTTCTGTATGGACCACGCTTTGTGCACGAGGGCATTGTCATGCTGAAACGGGAAAGGGCCTTCCTCAAACTGTTGCCACAAAGTTGGAAGCACAGAATCGTCTAGAATGTCATTGTATGCTGTAGCGTTAAGATTTCCCTTCACTGGAAGTAAGGGGCCTTGCCCGAACCATGAAAAACTGCCCCAGACCATTATTCCTCCTCCATCAAACTTTACAGTTGGCACTATGCATTCGGACAGGTAGCGTTCTCCTGGCATCCGCCAAACCCAAATTCGTCCATCGGACTGCCAGATGGTGAAGATTGAGTCATCACTACAGAGAACGCGTTTCCACTGCTCCAGAGTCCAATGGCAGCGAGCTTTACACCACTCCAGCCGACACTTGGCATTGCGCATGGTGATCTTAGGCTTGTGTGCGGCTGGTTGGCAATGGAAACCCATTTAATGAAGCTCCCAACGAACAGTGCTTGTGCTGACGTTTCTTCCAGAGGCAGTTTGGAACTCGGTATGAAGTGTTGCAACAGAGGACAGACAATTCTTACGCGCTTCAGCTCTCGACAGTCCTGTTCTGTGAGCTTGTGTGGCCTACCACTTCACGACTGAGCCGTTGTTGCTCCTAAATGTTTCTACTTCACAATAACAGCACTTACAGTTGACCGGGGCAGCTCTAGCAGGGCAGAAATTTGACGAACTGACTTGTTGGAAAGGTGGCATCCTATGACGGTGTCACGTTGAAAGTCACTCAACTCTTCAGTAAGGCCATTCTACTGCCAATGTTTGTCTATTGAGATTGCATGGCTGTGTGCTCGATTTTATACACCAGGTGTGGCTGAAATAGCCGAATCCACTAATTTGAAGGGGTGTCCACATACTTTTGTATATATAGTGTATATCATCAGATAGAGAACATTAGTCAGTCAGTGAATATCTTTGGCCCGAGATGGGGTTTGATGTCAGAGTACCCCAGTGATCCCGTTCTCCTCCACTCATCTCCTCCAGGCTGGGAGTACTCATTGCAAGGGGAGTCATCCAGGGGATGCTTGTAGTGTTTGAGCAGAGTGTTTGCATGACAATGAGTGACAAGGAGTTGACATGATAGCACAAACAGATCAGGGACCTGGCTAAATCTGTACTGCTGATCCCCTGAAACCCCAGGACTGGACACACTCTAGGCATTTTAGCAGGAGTGCAAAATAATGTGTGATATTTGATGTGACTCCATCATGTGGTAACACCATGAAATTACTCCATGCATCACATTCACTGTATGAAAAGGCCAATGGATAGAATAATTCTTATAAAACTTACAGCAAATTGCAATTCATTACTCACTATGGAAACAAGGGAGAAAACATTGAATTAACTTGTTAAACATATTATATGTCCAATTAATGCATTAATACAGTTGAAGTCGGAAGTTTACATACACCTTAGCCAAATACATTTAAACTCAGTTTTTCACAATTCCTGACATTTAATCCTAGGGGCGGCAGGTAGCTTAGTGGTTAAGAGCGTTGTGCCAGTAACCGAAAGGTCGCTGGTTCTAATCCCCGAGCCGACTAGGTGAAAAATCTGTCGATGTGCTCCCGTAAGTCGCTCTGGATAATAGCGTCTGCTAAATGACTAAAATGTAAATGTAAGAATGGGAGAAACTCCCCAAATACAGGTGTGCCAAGCTTGTAGCGTCATACACAAGAAGACTCAAGGCTGTAATCGCTGCCAAAGGTGCTTCAACAAAGTACTGAGTAAAGGGTCTGAATACTTATGTAAATGTGATATTTCATGGATTTTTAAATATATACATTTGCAGAAATGTCTAAAAACCTGTTTTTGATTTGTCATTATGTGGTATTGTGTGTAGACATTAAAAAAAGTATCAATTTTAGAATAAGGCTGCAACGTAACAAAATGTGGAAAAAGTCAAGGTGTCTGAATATTTTCAGAATGCACTATAGAGCCAGTGCAAGAATGTCAGTGCAAAAAAAATGGTAAGAGATATACAACCTGACAGGCAGCATAAAACACTCAAAGACAACAACCCATTACCTGTACATGTCTGAGGTGGTCTTGATTTATAATTTCCCATTGAACTGTACTTTTCTTCCTGTATACGTTGTTGTTTTGTTTGGTGGAACAGAGGAGTGAAACAGTAACACTATCCTTATCTCTGTCACAATAGAGTAGGGCCAGATAAAGCTGGATCATGGCAGTGTGCTAAAAATAAAACATCTCTGAGAGGAATACCTGACCACTATGACAACTGATCTCTCTCTGTGTGTTGTGTGTCCACTGCTCTTTTCAAACAGCAGATGGCCATTACCTTTCATTTTTCCAGCCCAAGCCATCAGTCAGTTTTCAATGTTGATGTTGTCAACTGCTTGATGGCCTGAAAACAAAACAATGTTGTCAGAAGTGCAAGGACATTGTCTTAAATTTTGACAAGTGACAACTTGACCACAGAACAGTACCTTGCAGTGATTTAGTAGAAGTATTTACATAGAGCTGAGGAATGGAATTTTGCTAATGCCTTCCAGTTCATCTATTAATCCTAAAGCTGCCAGACTATGTGCCAGTCCAATGTGACATAATCGTTCTTGTGGTGGATATCTGATATTCTCTCTGGGGAAACCAAACAATCATGCCAGCATGACATCATCCACTATATACTTGCCTCTGTATGCATTCCGATAGGCCACTACCTATACATTACTGTGTAGCATTGTTTCCCAACTCCTGTCCTCGAGTACCCCCAACAGCACACGTTTTTGTTGTAAGCCCCGCCCAGACAAACTCACCTGACTCAACTCATCCAGGGCTTGATGATTAGTTGACAAGTTGAATCAAGTGAGTTTGTCCAGGGCTACAACAAAATGGTGTGCCGTTGGGGGTACTCAAGGACTGGAGTTGGGAAACACTGCTGCAGAGCCGGCTCCAGGGATAAGCAACATTTGGTAGTGCATCAGCAGTTTTCCTCTTGTTTTGTCAGTCACTGACAGTCACTCAATTAGCCATGTCAGCTGACAATTAGTCAGTTTGCTAAACTTGTGGTAATCATGGCCGAATTACCGACCGGCAAGCAGGGCACGTGCCCAGGGGCCCTGACCTCCAGGTGGCCCATATTGATTTTGTTAGTCACTCTCACTCAGATATCATTGACATGGAATAAGTCATGTGTAGAATTGCAGGAAATTAGCTTTAAAACTGCAGAACATTATATCTGCACCTTGGTAAAATAAGTTGAATTGCATGAAAGTTGTTATAAAATTGCTAACTTTTCTCTACGCCCCATGGCAAAATGTGTAGAATTGTAGGAAATTAACTTTAAAACGTTATCTCTGCTGTCAAGAGCGAGGCCACCAAAAAACTTTGCTTGCTTGGTGGGGGGCCCCCCAACCAAATCTTGCTTAGGGCCCCCAAAAGGCTAGAGCTGGCCCTGCACTGCTGTATAGGATGTCAAGCGCTGTCCCTTACACTTGCTCTAAAATAGAGCACAGTACCAGAATCTATTTTAATTCGGAGGAACATGTCCCATACCAGCATAGGACAATGAAGAGACACACAACACAACTTTCAAATATTTTCTGTCTTTATTACAAAATGGATTGTCACTACCATGTCATTTCAACATAGACCATTTTTTAAAATATACTACAGAAATAGCATCTTTGTAACAAAAATTATCTACATCCAAATCTCCCGTTTATGTATCAAACAGCTGATCCAACCATTGTATCTGAATGCTATCAAATACCCACCACATTGTATCCCTACTTCAGTTCAATTTAACACACAATCATTCCATTCATGATTACAAAGGCATAATGGGTATTACAATCAATAGTAGCCTAGCTATCACTATAGCTCAATCACAGTCAGCTCCATTTCTTCATCTCTACATCCTCCATTAGTTTCTTCCTGTACTTAAGCATCTCCTCCAGGTTTTTTTGCAGGGCCTCCTGTAGAGACATCAGCTTGGTGCCTGGGGGCAATGTGACAGTGGACCCGCCCGGCTGCAGCATCTCCAGAGTCAGAACGAGTCGCGCATGTCCGGGCACACAGGGAAGAGACAGGTGTTCCAAAGACTTCAACTCAATGTGTTACCAGAGAACCTCAGGCTCTCGGGACTCAGGCCCCACTTGGCCAGGCACTCCACCAAACTGGCCCCGAACAGGTTCCACACCTCCATATTCCCAGGGGCCCCCACGCCCTTCTTGAGGTCGTCCTCGATGCCGAAGGTGATGGTAGCAATACCGGTTTGGCCCTCCCGGTTCACGCAGAGGGAGTGCATAAAGAGGTACTCAGTGGTGGTGCTGATGTGATAAAACTTTGAGAGCCACCAGGTTGAGCAGGGTTCCCTTAAGGTGGTGGAAGATCTTCTGATGCATCTCCACCAGGCTGCTCTCCTGCTTGCTGACATTTGCAGTGTTGTTGGTTGTAATCTACATAATATGTACTGCCTGCGTACACAAACTCAGCATCACTTAGAAGAGACACACAGCTATCCTGGCTCTTACACACAGCACCATTTTCGTGCATCTTCTTGACGCTAGGTTTGTGCAGAAAATGGAGGCAGGTCCTGTAATCCATGTCGGCCAATACAGACTTCTCCTTCTGGTCCAGCACGAAGACTGGGCTGGGTTGTTCCGATGGAGATGGGGGAGGGACGGGCTAGAGCAGTGAACCCAGACATGTCAAACCTGATGTTCCCATCCTCTGTTATGCTGTAGAGCTCTATGCAATCCGCACTGGTCACCAGCACACCCAATTTCATGTGCTTGGGGAAATACACAAACACGACTAGTTTGATCTCCAGCATCTGGTAAAGATTTCCCCCAGGGCACTGGCATTGGGCAAGCACTGACTGAATCCACCTAGGAAAATCACTGTTATTTGAAAACATTCAATAATATATGCTATTTAGCTGACACTTTTATCCAATGTGACCTACAGTAGACTTACAGTAGTGCTTGCATAATTATTTTCAATAATATAGGCCTATCTTACATTTATATCACTTTTACATAATTGCCAACTAATATACAGTTTTAGAATGTAATTTTCACAGTAAAACATGTATGATGAATGAACGATTATACCTGCATGAATCAGAAGGACCCTGTATCCACCAAGCGCCTTCCCATAGATGTCTTCCAGCCGTTGCAGAGAGTACAGTATTGCGCCTCCATTTCCTGAGAGAGAAGTTCAATTCAGTCAAAGTGAAATGCTTCAGTGAAATTAGGGGCCGTATGTATCTAGGACAAGGTCCTCCTTGTCCATGTAATCTTATTCAATGTGATTCAAAGGGCAAAACTGATCCATAATCAGCACATAAATCAGGATGGCTCAAACTAATTTAAGTGGTCTAATGCATACGAAACGGGGCGTCCACAGAATAACTAACATTACATTTGCGTCATTCACCTTTTAACTTTTGCCTATTCACTTCTTGTGGATATGAAATTGATTGAAATTGAAATGCTCTGACTCGAAACTGCTGCAGTGTTGTCATCTGCCTCGTTTCCGGGTTTAGTCACATGGTTATTAGCATGCCCGAGGGATACAATGTGTCACTACAATCAGAGACGGAAGAGGATGCGAGACATCCCACCTCCTCATTTTTTCTCGTTCATATATATTCAAATGAACTAGACCAGACCCAACCGCTATCGCATTGGTGTCTAAGGGAGAGCCACCTCTACATGCTTTGTAAGTAGGAAAAGCTGCAAAATCGGCAGTATATCAAATACTTGTTCTCCCCACTGTATATATATACACACATACACATACATACATACATATATATATATATATATATATATATACAGTGGGGGGAAAAAGTATTTAGTCAGCCACCAATTGTGCAAGTTCTCCCACTTAAAAAGATGAGAGAGGCCTGTAATTTTCATCATAGGTACACGTCAACTATGACAGACAAACTGAGAGAAAAAAATCCAGAAAATCACATTGTAGGATTTTTTATGAATTTATTTGCAAATTATGGTGGAAAATAAGTATTTGGTCACCTACAAACAAGCAAGATTTCTGGCTCTCACAGACCTGTAACTTCTTCTTTAAGAGGCTCCTCTGTCCTCCACTCGTTACCTGTATTAATGGCACCTGTTTGAACTTGTTATCAGTATAAAAGACACCTGTCCACAACCTCAAACAGTCACACTCCAAACTCCACTATGGCCAAGACCAAAGAGCTGTCAAAGGACACCAGAAACAAAATTGTAGACCTGCACCAGGCTGGGAAGACTGAATCTGCAATAGGTAAGCAGCTTGGTTTGAAGAAATCAACTGTGGGAGCAATTATTAGGAAATGGAAGACATACAAGACCACTGATAATCTCCCTCGATCTGGGGCTCCACGCAAGATCTCACCCCGTGGGGTCAAAATTATCACAAGAACGGTGAGCAAAAATCACAGAACCACACGGGGGGACCTAGTGAATGACCTGCAGAGAGCTGGGATCAAAGTAACAAAGCCTACCATCAGTAACACACTACGCTGCCAGGGACTCAAATCCTGCAGTGCCAGACGTGTCCCCCTGCTTAAGGCAGTACATGTCCAGGCCCGTCTGAAGTTTGCTAGAGTGCATTTGGATGATCCAGAAGAGGATTGGGAGAATGTCATATGGTCAGATGAAACCAAAATAGAACTTTTTGGTAAAAACTCAACTCGTCGTGTTTGGAGGACAAAGAATGCTGAGTTGCATCCAAAGAACACCATACCTACTGTGAAGCATGGGGTGGAAACATCATGCTTTGGGGCTGTTTTTCTGCAAAGGGACCAGGACGACTGATCCGTGTAAAGGAAAGAATGAATGGGGCCATGTATCGTGAGATTTTGAGTGAAAACCTCCTTCCATCAGCAAAGGCATGGAAGATGAAATGTGGCTGGGTCTTTCAGCATGACAATGATCCCAAACACACCGCCCGGGCAACGAAGGAGTGGCTTCGTAAGAAGCATTTCAAGGTCCTGGAGTGGCCTAGCCAGTCTCCAGATCTCAACCCCATAGAAATCTTTGGAGTCCGTGTTGCCCAGCGACAGCCCCAAAACATCACTGCTCTAGAGGAGATCTGCATGGAGGAATGGGCCAAAATACCAGCAACAGTGTGTGAAAACCTTGTGAAGACTTACAGAAAACGTTTGACCTGTGTCATTGCCAACAAAGAGTATATAACAAAGTATTGAGAAACTTTTGTTATTGACCAAATACTTATTTTCCACCATAATTTGCAAATATATTCATTAAAAATCCTACAATGTGATTTTCTGGATTTGTTTTCTCATTTTGTCTGTCATAGTTGACGTGTACCTATGATGAAAATTACAGGCCTCTCTCATCTTTTTAAGTGGGAGAACTTGCACAATTGGTGGCTGACTAAATACTTTTTCCCCCCACTGTATATACATATATACACACATACATACACACATACATACACACATACATACATACACATACCTATCCTTTAAAAAAAAATATTCCCCTTTATTACTTTCCAACCCCACCACCCTTTCCCTACTTGGAGTAAACTAGTGAACAACAATGCTTAGGCCTCTACTTCCAGCTTATACTTACTATCTACATTTTATGGACACAGTCAATTTTACAATAATTCTATTTTGTTTTTTCTCCTGAACTTCTTCTACTCTCAACCTCTCCGATCATTTTCATGATGTCCATCCGGTTTGCTTCTATATGAATATCTTTCTAACTGTGCTCTTTCACAAAAGATCCCAACCTACAACCTATTATATTTATTATGGACACAGTATGCGTGGCAGCTGCCTCTCTAACCTGGTGGTCCCTGCACGCACCCCACACCTGGAGTTCCAGGTCTCAGGCAGCCTCTGGAACTGCCGTTCTGCTGCCAACAAAGCTGACTTCATCCCAGCCTATGCTAACCTCCAGTCCCTCGACTTCCTGGCGCTGACGGAAACATGGATTACCACTGAAAACACTGCTACTCCTACTGCTCTCTCCTCGTCTGACCATGTGTTCTCGCATACCCCGAGAGCATCTGGTCAGAGGGGTGGTGGCACAGGAATCCTCATCTCTCCCAAGTGGACATTCTCAATTTTTCCCCTAACCCATCTGTCTATCTCCTCATTTGAATTCCATGCTGTCACAGTCACTAGCCCATTTAAGCTTAATATCCTTGTCATCTATCGCCCTCCAGGTTCCCTTGGAGAGTTCATCAATGAGCTTGACGCCTTGATAAGTTCCTTTCCTGAGGATGGCTCACCCCTCACAGTTTTGGGGGATTTCAACCTCCCTACGTCCACATTTGACTCATTTCTCTCTGCCTCCTTCTTTCCACTCCTCTCCTCTTTTGACCTCACCCTCTCACCGTCCCCCCCTACTCACAAGGCAGGCAATACGCTTGACCTCATCTTTACTAGATGCTGCTCTTCTACTAATCTCACTGCAACTCCCCTCCATGTCTCCGACCACTACTTTGTTTCCTTTTCTCTCTCGCTCTCCTCCAACACTACTCACTCTGCCCCTACACAGATGGTAATGCGCCGCCGCAACCTTCGCTCTCTCTCTCCCACTACTCTCTCCTCTTCCATCCTATCATCTCTTCCCTCTGCTCAATCCTTCTCCCTCCAATCTCCTGATTCTGCCTCCTCAACCCTCCTCTCCTCCCTTTCTGCATCCTTTGACTCTCTGTGTCCCCTATCCTCCCGGCCGGCTCGGTCCTCCCCTCCAGCTCCGTGGCTTGATGACTCATTGCGAGCTCACAGAACAGAGCTCCGGGCAGCTGAGCGGAAATGGAAGAAAACTAAACTCCCTGCCGACCTGGCATCTTTTCACTCCCTCCTCTCTACATTTTCTTCATCTGTTTCTGCTGCTAAGGCCACTTTCTACCACTCTAAATTCCAAGCATCTGCCTCTAACCCTAGGAAGCTCTTTGCCACATTTTCCTCCCTGCTGAATCCCCCCCCCCCCCCCCCCCCCCCTCCTCTCTCTCTGTGGATGACTTCGTCAACCACTTTGAAAAGAAGGTTGACGACATCCGATCCTCGTTTGCTAAGTCTAATGACACTGCTGGTCCTACTCACATTGCCCTACCCTATGCTCTGACTTCTTTCTCCCCTCTCTCTCCAGATAAAATCCTGCGACTTGTGACTGCAGGCCGCCCAACAACCTGCCCGCTTGACCCCATCCCCTCCTCTCTTCTCCAGACCATCTCCGGTGACCTTCTCCCCTACCTCACCTCGCTGATCAACTCATCCTTGACCGCTGGCCATGTCCCTTCCGTCTTCAAGAGAGCGAGAGTTGCACCCCTTCTCAAAAAACCAACACTCGATCCCACTGATGTCAACAACTACAGACCAGTATCCCTTCTTTCTTTTCTTTCCAAAACTATTGAGCGTGCCGTCTTTAGCCAACTCTCTTGCTATCTCTCTCAGAATGACCTTCTTGATCCAAACCAGTCAGGTTTCAGGACTGGTCATTCAACTGAGACTGCTCTTCTCTGTGTCACGGAGGCTCTCCGCACTGCTAAAGCTAACTCTCTCCCCTCTGCTCTTGTCCTTCTAGACCTGTCTGCTGCCTTTGATACTGTGAACCATCAGATCCTCCTCTCCACCCTCTCCGAGCTGGGCATCTCCGGCGCGGCTCACTCCTGGATTGCGTCCTACCTGACCGGTCGCTCCTACCAAGTGGCGTGGCGAGAAGCTGTCTCCGCACCACGTTCTCTCACCACTGGTGTCCCCCAGGGCTCAGTTCTAGGCCCTCTCCTATTCTCCCTATACACCAAGTCACTTGGCTCTGTCATATCCTCACATGGCCTCTCCTA